ATCATCATATGGACTGGAGGTTAGTTCGAATTTCAGTGACAAACTTTAAAAAATAAATATTGTTACGAAGTACTCTATTCCACATCTTTCTGTGGATATCGTTGTAGGCGACAGAGTGAAACTGAAATAAGAGATAGGTTGCACTACCTTCTTCATGAATTCATCAGTCACTTCACAACTTCTTCATTTGTCAACCCGCTCACCAAGCGTGGCAACTATATATGAAGCAATCTATGGGGAGGCTTATATTTAGCAGTGGGTTTTTATAGACTGTAATAACGGTGGCGATAAGAGAATCTATTTAAACCTATTAATACCGTGAGTGTGGTGCGAGACGACTTTAGAAAATGCCAACAAAATTTTATAGCGTTTGACCAAAACGGTAAAACCATCTCGTTTACACCAGGTGAAAAATACAGCAGGGCTCTGGCATCAGCATTAAAGGTTCGAAACGTCTGATACTGTGATCGTCAATCCGATAGCCAAGAGTGCAAGGCACATTGTGCAATTGCCTACAACGAAAGAGGCTGATGCCTATCTGTAAAATTTCATTGGTTAATAAAGCAGACAACAGGAGAGCAAGAAGAAAATACTTTAGTTAAACAATAATAAATACTTATATATGATGAATAAGTGTATTTCTAAAATTTTAATTTTTGTTTTTATTTTTATTAACCTCGAACTAACATTGCAACTGATGGTAAGTGAAAAAAAAGGGAAAGAAATTCAAGACAAAACAATTTTCAAATAAAGAAGGCTTTTTAGTTCAGAAATTTAGGTGTTTAGGTTGTTTGCTCACTTTTTATAGAGAATAACGGTGACAAACGAGCACACATTCGACCTAATGGCATACCATTGTGTGCGTTGGCCCATAGGCATCTACATCTATACTGGATTAAGAATCAAAATGCAAATGCGTTGTCATCGCTGTAGACTAAGATGGAGTTCCTCGTTTTCAGTGAACGGGTCTCCGTTTATCTACACTCACCATACGAAACACAACAGCAATAAGTTGCTATTTTCCGCTGTTATTCTGTGAGAACGTGGTCCTTCATCTGTTGAACCGACCCATTCGTGGTACAACCATGTAGTATAGCTGCAGCATGGTGGTCTACCACGTTTATAGCAAATTACATATATTACTTAATAGCAAATTCTACATAACGCTATACTTTGAACTCACTCAAGAGACAATAAAACAAGTATCTCGCTAGCTATAAGGTTGAGAATACAGAAAGATTCGTCAGAGGCGCCTGTGCTACAATAAGCTTGACTAACTTATACTTATGATAATTGTGACTGTGTTTCTGACGGATCGAAATTCCTTTGTGTGGTGGTTTATATGCATGCCCGCGGCATTGAGTTGATCTAACTCCGAGGTCGGAATGTACCATCAGGTGGATCATGGTTTGTCACCCTTATTCTATAAAAAAGTAAAATAGGTTATACCAACGATACACTGTCATATTATAATAACTAGGATGAGACCAAGGTACTTTATGTTGGACCCCACCTAAATTACGCCGACTACGATGTGGGACTCCAGTGACAGCGCGCTTCGAGGTACGCTAATAGCCACGTTCTTGTTTATCACCACCATTTAATAATAATAAAAACTAAACGAGTAAATTTAAGTCAAATTATATTTTAACGTCAACCACGGACAATGAATAATAATAAAAGGTCACAATCAAGTTGTCAAATTCCTGGTATAAAAGTATGTACATTAAGATGATGTGAAATTAAGAAACCAAGGAATTAAGAAAGCTGTCGATGCTATTTAGTGATAACACACATCTGGTGTCGACAATAGACCTATTTTAGTCTATTTTTATTCGATTACAGCACAGCTAAAACAGAGTGTGCTTTTTACTAGTAATTGGCATTATTATTATAATGAAGTTGCTATAACTTAATTTGGTCAATTCCGCGTAAAGAACTTCTTACAACTTAAAAAACTTCTTTACGTGGAATTAAGCAAATTAAGTTATAACAACTTTATAATGCATTTACGCAAAGTAACGTCTGATTCTATTAATTATTATCATTATTATATCTGGATTAGAAATAAAGTATCAAAATGTATGAAACAATTATGGTGAAATAGGATAGATCAACAGAACGGAATGGATTTCATATATTAAATTTGTTAATAGTATATACAAAATACATGTATTTAATCGTTACATGCACTTATAGTTAGTAGAGAGAATTAAAAATTCTAAAACCCGCTGTGTCACAATCGTGTATTTGACTTCGTAAATTGCTAAACATGCGTAATAAGCAAGGAGGATAAGTGTGGGTAGAGATTCTTAAAATTACCACAGGTAAAATACTCAATAGACAATAGTTATACAAATGATTTAATAGAAGCTAATTACAATTGTTTCATTAACATGTGGACTAGTTTAAATAATCTGTATGGTGTCGCCACAATGTAGGTGGAAATACACTTGGCTCTTAAGGATTGTCTCCTGAATCTCGACATCTATAACATTTTTTTAATAACTACTATAAGTTCGAGTCTCATTTAAAATCAATAGTCTATCGCTTACGCGACGTAATAATGTGAATTTAGCACCTCATTCTTCGATTTATCAAAAACTTAATAATTTTAACATTATTTTTAATCTATTTCATAATCAATCATAACTTAAGTACTTATAATAATCATAATGTAATTCTTATAATAATTATTAACAGATTAACTTCGAAATGTCGACTTAAATAGAATGTTTTGATACAAAACAAAAAAAACGCGATTTCATAGAAATCTATAAATTATCAATTAATCCTATCTAGCTCTTCAAGACAATATTGCAACCACCTGTCCAGTCATTTTGTATGTAAAAAAGCTTAAGTTTTAAGGGATCTAGCTAGTTCACAATAGTATGTTAAATACAATTATAATTAGGTATCCTATATTACAAAAGACCATCGTATTACTTTAACGATAAAGATGGATGTATATTTAGAGTCAATAAATTGAGGAAGATTCTCTTTCAACATTCATAATATTATTACAAGATTAGAACAACTAAAAAACAACAGTCGTGATGGTAAGCGGTGTCCGCAGTCCATTGAGACCTGCGATCGTCACGCATATTGGTGGATTGACGAGTAGATTACTGAAATATTCTTAACTAAAAAGGTTTTTCTGTTGTGTGCGTCTTTACACTGTATACTTCCATGCCAAGGCTTTGTGCTCGTGTACGCGAAGTGTACGCTTTTATTTTAGAACTTAACATGTACAATATGAATTGATTTGTTGTTCACTAAGTAAAAGGATTATATTCTTACAATACATACATGTTTTTGTTAAACGAATATGTGCTAATTTTCTTAACATTATTTGAATAATTTTTAAACTGCTATGTCATAATTTTAATGATATTTTACATCAATTTTCAAATTCTTACCAAATTCAAAAGTTGTATGATAAATTGATGGATATGTAAGAATAGCTTATAGAATATTTTGTATCATGTGTATCAAAAAAGTAAAACATATTTTCAACATTATTTTTTTATCTACAAGTAATTACAATTCGTTGTTGCTGAAAGTTAACTAAATATAAAAGAAGGAATACTTGTAAAATCTAATTAGATTCTTTGTTTTTCTTTCATTGTGCACAATGTCCTTCAAGAAAGGTGTGCTGTTTCACAACACTCAGTCAATGAGGGCTAATAATCTTTTGCTCACCAGATGTCGCTAGTTGGGACTGAGGTGAAGTTATTTGTTACCTAACGTCATTAAAATTGAGAAATATAAGTTTATTGGTTTCTACAGTGTGTAATTACACAAAAAATGCCTCAGTGGTTTGCTCTTTAATTTTTTGTACATTTTTAACTTTTATTAAAATTTTTCAACTTTTAGGAATATCTGTTATTATGTTTATTTATTTCTTATCTAATTAATACAAAATACAACTAATATTACAGAAAGAAATATTAAACCTTACATTTTTCTAACTAATTACATCCACACCATACAATCTGTCAAATATTTCACCTCATTCCTAAGTGACGCCGCCCTGGTGGTAGAAAAAGTCGTGAATTATTGCTATAGACCTCATTAGGGTGAGACGTGTGTACACATATCTTTAATTCGTAAGTATATTTGCGTTTATTCTATACTAGCTGTTCCCCGAGACTTCGTCCGCGTTTTATTTGGGGTTTTAATTATTTTGCGCGGAACCCTAATTCTTTTTCTGAAATAAAAGTAGCCTAAGTTACTCCTTATGAATTCAGCTATCTGCCAGTGAAAGTCCCGTCAAAATCGGTACAGTCGTTTCGGAGATTAGCCGGAACAAACAGACAGACAGACATACAGATAGACGGACAATAATTATAAAAATTGTATTTTTGTTATAAGTACCGTATATACTTTCATATGCATTTAGTAAAATGCTGTAATGTTGACATTACAAACAGACACTTCAATTTTATTTATTTGTATAAATATAAATTGTATAAACTAGTGAATTAATATAAAAGTCGCATGTCCGTGTTGACTGTTGACCCTAATAAATGAATAACGGACGGACAAAATCAATTTTGTAATGCTATCAACCTTTAAGTCCAATTAAGTTTTCAAATTAATAATTATTAATTGGGTAGCATGTCATTAATAAATTACTACATCATTTAGAATTTGCTACTTTTAGTATTCTTAAAACTTGGTCGATTTTCTTATTAAGTTAAATTAGATTTTTAGTATTTAAAAATATAAAACTATGAATATTATTGTTTGGCGTGAAAACTGTGACGTCATTAGACTTTATCACTCTCATAGAGAAATGTTTGTATTGTTTTAAATATCAATAACCCAATTTTGGCATGTAAACAAATTCGAAAGTTTGTAGCAACGAGGCCTGTGTTGCCCATTAGGAAGTTATTAGGTTTCCTTCACTCCGCATCAAAATTGCATGAATATTTAAGCTCTTAATATCATCTGGATTTCCACGGGTATAACTACAAATTGCCCGTCCAAGAGCTCGTTCAGGTGTAGTGGTCCACGTCGTACCAGAAGACGTAATGCGCTGCTGCAGTAATCACACCAGCCGTCAGAACTAAGCCCGAGATCACGCGACATGCCACGATGTAAGGCTTCTTGTAATTTTCGCCTGCAATAAATATAAAACTATTTGAAAAGATCAATAGATTTTTTTTACAAATACGTTCTAAAACAAATTCGTCCTACGGATATCTTAACGATTCCGGCAAATCCTTGTATCGGGGAGACCTATGTTCTTCATGACTTTTGATAGACTGCTTTGAAAGATAATAACTGCCTGTAAACGGCCAAATCTGTACTGGCGGTCTTTGAGGAAGTCATACTACCCTAGGTATGCCATAAGGCGTTAAATATACGCTCCCATAATCTTGCAAAGTATGGAGGAAAATTGAGATTGGCCCATAATTGGCAGGGTTGACACGGCTGCCTTTCTTGGAACAGGTTGCCATTGGCTAGCTCCCAGGGTTTTGGCACCAGTCCTAAATGAGAGGCGGAACAAGTGTTTTAGCTCAGGAGATATCTCAGGTGCTTAAGTCTTTAGAACTGTAGCCGGTATATCATTTAGTCCACTAACTTTATTCATGATTCAATTTCGCAAAGTTTTAAGAACATCCTGTTGGTGATACGAACCTCTAACATAGAGGTACCTACCGCAGTGAGACAATGTTGAGTATATTATTCAGTTATACTGTCACAGTTCTATCCTCACTCCTTTGTAGCTTCTTTTGTTTTCTACCATTCATTCTCAACAACATTTTATATGTTATTATTAAAATTATGTTCAATAATATTATCAAAAGTTATTTTATATAAGTTTACATTATCATTATTTTTACTCTTACCGTCGAAGACGATGAAGCTGAGTGGCACGCCCACAGCGGCTCCCAGCACGTGCGCGGCCCATGCCACGTGGTCGTAGTTGGGGGGAGCGTGAGGACCGGTGGGCGAGGGGGGCACGGGGAGTGCTGGAGGCGCTCGCAGCAGCGCCCAGCAGCCCTCGGACGCACCCAACACCACCACGCTCAGCGGGCGGAACCACCACAGCGGGATGTGACCGAATCTGGACAATGGAGTCCGCTTTTAGCTTCTTTTCACTATCACGGGTAGCTATACTCATACGTTTATGAGGTACAGTTACCAATTACTATCTCTACTAAAGTTAAATACATTTAGGAACTCTCACTTCAGCAAAGCGTGTCACAAGGCAAACATTATTCTCGTTTAGTCGTATGATTGGAAGCCACTGAGGTCTACGTCCGAGGATTATTCTGTGGCTGTATGTCCAACAGCATAATGCATCTAACTGACGCCTCCATTGTATGGCGTAATAAAGGTAGCCAAAGGACGGACTCACGGACGGACGGTCTGTTTAATGACAACTTGATTAGTAAGAACCTCGCTAGGAGCGGTCATTCATATACTTATATAACTTTAAATATATTGATCTAAATGTAAACAACGAGGTCAAAGCTAAAGTTCAACTCTTAAGGCGGATCGCGCTTGTTTTCTGACTTTACTAATGTACACTGACCGATAGTCACTGGTTCTGGATGTTTGTCCATGGGTAATGTATGTATGTATGTGAAACGCCTCCATGATATATCAGAAAATCCTAGTGTGGGATTTAACTTTAAAAACAAGAAATATTTTTTGTACGTTTAATAAAAAATAGAAACCGATAAAACTAAAACGAATAAAATAATTTCTACATAAAAGCTTTTAAAGTCGATGTTGAGCTATTTGTATTGCAGGATTAAAGCCTCGAGTTCAGGAGAGATTGTGTGGCATTTATTTTATTATTTTTAAATGAAGTAGTCTTTTTACTTTTGATTAAAAGTTTAATTTTTTACCTCTTTGAGAGGGCCAGGCTATATCTCAAACGCAGATAACAGAGGTAACTAAAATGTCGTCTTAATATTTACTGTAAAATATCCATCCTCTAAATTACCCTTAAAACAGTGGATTTTAACTTCAAACCTAAATGACCATAGCATAGGGACATAGCCTATTGAATATATCTAGAGAATCGGATACCCTTTTTATTGGAAACGAGGCATTCCATCTTAAACCTCAGGGATGACAACGCATCTGAATTTTGATTCTTAGTCAAGGATAAATGTAGTGATCTATGGGCCACGGCATCCACTTATCATCAGGTGAACTTTGTGCTCGTTTGTCACCCTAATTCATTAAAAAAGACATCTGTTCCTACCTGAGACAGACGTTAGGTAGGTGCGCAGTGAGCAGTGCGTACACGGCAGCAGAAGCTCCCACCACTCGCACATGTGGCTGCAGAGCACCTGCACCCAGCGCGCCCGCCGCCACACCCCCCATCCACACCACCGCTACGCGTCGCCAGCCTTGCTCCAGCTCTAAGCGCCAACCCACCTGGAACAACCGTATGTACCATTAGAAAAGGATTTATAGATCTCATGTTTATGTAAAACTCAAGAAAACAATAATGCGACAAGTGTTACACGCCTTAAAAAGCGACTTATGGGATATTGGATTTGTGATTACGTAAGGAATAACGATAGGCACAAATCACTTCTTTTACGATTTCTAAACTCATATTTGGTTAGCTAAGCATGGTTTGATATCTTGCTGCTCTTTGGACTCTGCCTGCCCTCTCAGTGATAACAGGCGTGACAATTTTTTAGCTTATTATACCCTAAGCACTTGACTGCAATCCACTTGATGTTACCATCGTGGTGATGAAGCCCTAGATAGTTAATTGCACTGTCTTAACGTAACAAAAGCCTTTTCATTCTTGTCTTAAAGACACCCAAATTGTAATCGGCGGGAAATACTGACGCCGGCAACATAGTCCACTCAATTACTGTTTATTGTATTTCTTGTTGTACGAAGTAAAAGACGAAACAAACTTGGTTCGAATGCGTGGATAATCAACAGTTATCATCATCGTTACAGCTTCTTCTAAACATAGGCCTTCCCCAAAGAATGCCACAAAATACGCTCCTCGTTACACCATCTAGTAGGGGGTCAGTCTACACCCCGGTTTCGTCTGTTGTTCCTGCATCTGATCTCTTTCTGAACGTGTCGGATAACCGTCCTATTGGAATGTGAGTGAAGTGTGAGCATTACAATCGTGTCTTCCGTAGATGGCTAGTATCCGTTAAGACTGGCCGCTGTGACTGAAACTCGGTCTGGCATAACAATTCCCCTATCCATACAACAAAGAAAAGAGTCTTTCTCTCTTTTTTAAAAGGCCGGCAACGCACCTGCAATTCCCCTGGTGTAGCGGTTGTTCGTGGGCGCCGATAATCACTTACCATCAGGTGAGCCGCATGCTCGTTTTGCCCACTATATAAAAAAACGATATACCGAACCTACTAAACGATCTTTATTTAGCGTAGACTTACAGCGAGAGCCACAAGCGCATTCAGTGCTAAATGAGCACTGCTGGCGTGGACGCAGCCGTACGTGAGCAGTCTCCAAGGTTTCCGCCACCACGCTCCCGGCGCCCATTCGAGCTGGGCCCGCATCGAGTCCGTGCCCCACACATGAATACACACCTGTAAAGAATAAGCGGTTATTGAATTAACGATATATCTACGTTCACAAAAAACAATAGGAGAGAATAGAATAGAAATAAGGTGAGATATTTAAACGTGGGTAGAGGTAAGCAGGACTGAAAAAATGTCCACCTAAATGCGTAGGATAATAGCCCTATTGTACCCAAAATGTTACTAGTTAATTAGTATAGACAATTAGAATAAGACCTGAACGTGGCGATCGCGAGTGTAATACGAAAGGCAACAACGAGACTGATGTGATTCCATTTTCTATTCTTTTAAAAACCATTGAATTATAACCAAGAAATTATTTAAAGACAAATATTATATTAAATATGTGCAGAGTGTAATGAAAAGTTGCATAAGAGTTCGTTAAAGTAAAAATAAAATAGATCAAGCATAAAAAGCAGATATATATCATTCTCCATTTAACTTTGTCTTACTCTCACAAATTTTGGTGCTTCCTTTAAAATTTGGACGCCATTTTACTTCACGGACCTTCTTTTCTCTACTCTCCACATTTATACATAACAAAGTGAACGTCTAAAAACGTCCCAAGTCAATATTAAGGTCGTGACAGACACACAGATACAAAGTGTCTTATTGGTAATGGAAAAAAAGACTAGACAATAGAAATAGCCTGGATTCTTAATCAAAATAGATTTAGATGTCTATGGGCCACAGCATTGACTTTCCATTGGGCGGACTGTTTTGTATGTCACGTTTACTTATATCAAAACATTCTTCCATATTTTCACTAGCTGTAACAATCAGTTACATGTGGCCTCTTCCTAGTTTTGATGATATTCGACAGAAAGATAATATAGTGGTAGATACCTGAACTTACTATAGTTACTATCATGATAAGAATGAAGTAGGGTGGCTTCAATACTGCAATAAGTTTCTCTTTCCTCTTCTGAAACTTTGTTTTCGTCCCTTTTGTAGAGCCAGGTAGCTGGCATTTTGTTGGTTTTTTCTTATTGCTCTCCTTTGGCACTCCCCAGACGCCGAGAGTCAAGCCAGCCTGAAGCCGAGACTTGGACTTGTTACAAGGAGGAGCCTCATCGTGTCCCAATAATCTTCTGTTTTCCCCTGGACTATTTGTCCTGCTGTCTCCTCCTGAACGTTCTAGCTCCTCGTTTTCGGTCCAAGCTTGCACAGGTGGTGGATCTTCTGGCTGGATACGTCTGCCTTGATGGACAGGTACCTCCTGAAATTCTTCTCCATTTAGCCGTTCCACCTAAAAATTGAAAGGGACTTTTTTTATAGTGCTTTATCAAATATTTTATATCACTTTACATTTACTTTATTATTTGCTATAATTACACGAATACAATATATTAAAAAAAACATCATCCCACACTATATAATTTTCTTGAGCAATGTCGAGGTATTTTACGTACATAAATAGGACGTAGTTATACAAAAACTTTCCAACACACAAGTCATTCAAAAATAAGGTAAATATACAGACGAAGATGTCAAAATAAGTAGATCTATATATTTAACTCATTTTTGAATGACTTGTGACTTGGAACGTTTTTGTATAACTACGTCCAATTGATCATAAACAAACATTCACACCTAAAATAATTATTTGAAAGCCATATAAACACTCGTTATCGCGGGATTCGAACCCGCAAGCTGCAATCAAAACCTTACCGAGTCGTCGCATACGAATCCTAAATGCGCGACGGAGCAATAAACATTCTTCAAATGTCTTCACAAACTTGCATTTATACATACTGTTAATATGAATCATATATGATATTTACCATGTGTGCGCGGGGTAACAGAATCTATTAACTCATTTCGTTCCGTGGGTATCGTAAAAGGCGACTTCTATGAAATGCTAGATTACTATCTCGTTTTTGCCGAGTGTATAATACAAGACGTCTGGCAATGAGATAGTAAACCCGCGTGCCAAGCGTGACGCTTTAAAGAATTACGCAGTACTGTAGTTCCGCTAAATTTCTTCGTCCTATTCTATTGACTTTCTTGCTGTATACTTCTGTGCTGTGCTAGTATCTTATTCTATAAGACATGCTTGTGTTTGTGAACTTGTAATATAACGAAATAAAAACTTTGTGTGGGGCAAAATAAACATTGTGGAGTTAAGTGTTTGTTTATTTTATTATCCAACACTACAAAGACGAATCCTCCCTACAGTAGAAAGGTCCATTTCCAGCAGTAGACTTTTACCAAGCAATAAAGAAGAACAGAAGAAAAATCTCCAAAAACAAAACAAAATCAATAAAATGAAAATAAGCCCGAAATTATATTTTACGTGGTAGAGCTATGCTGCAGCTATATTAGTAGTATAGTTGTAGCACGAATGGGTCGGCTCGATTGGGGAAGGACTACGCTCTCACAGAATACCAGTGTAAAATAGCAGCTTAATACTGCTGTGTTTTGCATGGTGAGTGGAGAGAACCGGAGACCCTTTTTACTAGAAAAGAGGCATTCTATCTTAGTCCTCACGGGTGACAACGCATCTATTATTGATACGTAAACGAGGATAGATGTGGATGTCTATGGGCCACAGCAACCACTTACCATCAGGTGGACTGTGTGCTCGTTTGTCACCCTATACTATAAAAAAAAGTAATTATTTCGCGTATCAAAGAATAAAACTTATTTTATTTTGTACCTCTTCGCAATCCTCCGCATCTGGAGACATCGTGTGCTGCAGAAGATTCCCTGGTCATCTTCTGCTTCAATCAAGGCTTTGTAACTCTAGTGTAGCTTTGCGTCCGCATCTGTAACTCGAAATGATGATCCAATGTTATGTCATTGCCAATTTATAATAATTTTCAGGAGGAAAACGCGATTTATAGGTAAACAAAGGAATTCCCTTAAATTGATTTACCGGGTAATGAGTTAATGTTTCAATAAATATTTGTGGTTATTAATGATTGTCCGGAAACCCAGATTTGCGTTATGGATTATACAGGATGGCGCGGGATGACGGGATAGTATGAATAAAATATAAATTGTTAGACATTGCTCAAAATCTCATTAAAATAAAACCAATAAAAATTACTTACAAATACTTAAAAATAAATTACTTATATGGAATCAAACCTGACAAATTTCCAAAAAGAAATAAATAAGTATACCAAATAGAATTATTACCTTAAGATTGGAAATAAGAGACACGTAGGGCAGAAAGTAGATAAGAGAGACACAAAATGGTTCTTGGGAGTCTTGATCCTTATTTGCAAAACTATCAATTGAGGTTATACAGGTTGATATTTTTTTGTAAAATTAACCGTGTAGTGGCAGTGTAAGAATATCCACTACCCCATATCGTTCCGCGAGTGTCTTAAGCCTGGATTTAGAACTCGACCGACGGTGAGCGCTGACATCGGTTGAGCGTAGCAATATCAATGAAACAGTGCAGCGCTGATGAAGTACTACGCGCGTACGCTATGGCGCTATGGCGGTACATGCGTGCGTTCAGTGCGACGCTAACAGCATAGATAAAATACTATATAGGGTAGCTAACAGAGCGACAGACTGTACGCGCGTACGCTACACATTATCGCGAACAAAAATGAACATTGGTACATGAACATTGTTCTCGCAATTTCAAATACAATGAACTAAATTCTCCTTCAATGAAACGGTCTACAATTATATCTTCTCCGACTTTTATGCTCGTTTGCTTAAATAGTACGGACATATTATATAGTTAACAAATGGATTAATTTTTCTTCGTAATGGTACACGTCTAACAAAGCTTACCGTCAGTTAAGCACTAAACGCTTGGCCTCGACCGACGATCCGGGCGTACCATCAGTGCGTACGGCACTAAATCCAGCCTAAGAGGCAAGAGTAGGAAACTGAAAAAGGAGATAATCATCAGCATATTTCTGATAACAACTCCCCACCTGCCAAGCGTGGCAGGCGGATTGGCAACCGCAGTTTGGCAACGATGGCAAAATCTCCCTATGAGGTAATCTACGGGGAAGGCTTTGTTAAGCAGTGGACTTCTATGGTTGTAATGGATGGATATATTTTTTCGTAATATAGACAGATTTGATTATTGGTTAAACTACGACACATTTTAAAATCTTAATATATATGTGGTTTTGTTTTGTACAAAAGCGACGCCGAAAGTTCTCTTTCTTTAAATCAAGTTGTTTATATTTTTTATGATTGCCCATAGTATAGATCGCGCCTGTGTACAGATTGTTATACGTTTAAAAAAGTTGTCACCGTTTTGTTTTTTATACAGATCTTAAGCGACAGTAGCCTCATGGCAGGGTGCGAACCGCAAACTCAAAAGGTCGTGGGTTCGAGTCCGCCATTCGACTACTGTCATGAACCACTCCTAACACAAGCATTTTAAGCTTGCCAGGAGTGGTTAAAGGGAACATTAGTAATGAAATTTTTTAAACTTGTGAGATTTGCTTACAACTATTTTCCTGATAAAATTTTTAATCAGAGAAACACTTATTTAACTCGCCTTCTCGTAAAATAAAACCAATATGTATTAAAAGCTGCTATTTTAAGCTGGTATTCTGTTAGAGCGTGGTCCTGCCCCAGTCGAACCCATCCATTCGTGTTACAACCGTAATATAGCTGCAGCATGGCTCTACCACGTAAATGGCAATGGCATGGATTTACCACTTTCTGTAGTTTACTTTTTAAACATTCTGTATATAAGCAACTTTATTGTCTATTTTCGTGTGTATTTATTTATAAACATTAGCAAATATAAATAACAATACGAAGAAATAGCGAAGCCGTGTGCCGGTGACATAATATTAAAATTGATACCTTCGTTTTATGGTGTAGAAAAGGCGACTATGGAAAAGCTAGAACAATCTTAAGGCTTTCGCTAGATGGGGGTATACGCCTCGTCTATGCCAGAAAAAAAACGCGCTGAATGGCGGCGGATAGAAGTATATAAATAGTAATCTATAGACATATATATATAGTATATATCTACACACAAACGCGCCTGTAAACTAGAGGGGAAGGTAGAGACTACGGACTTCCATTTGGCGCGATCCTGACACACCTCTCTCGCCTCCTTTACATCCATATATCTACGCATACACGCTCGTCGATTAAGGGTACTCCTAATCTAGCCCATCGACAATCGCGCCAAATGGAAGTCCATAGTCTGTGCTTATATACAGGGAGTTTAAAAAATAAATTACAGAAAGTGGTAAATCCATGTCATTGCCATTTACGTGGTAGAGCCACGCTGCAGCTATATTATAATTGTAGCACCAAAGAGATCTATAAAACATCTTTGTGTAGCACGAATGGGTCGGCTCGACCGGGGAAAGTAGCATGAAAGATGCGTAAATAACGTCTGGTACCATCTGGGACTGCAATCTTTGCCTGCAAAGTGTGACAATGAAGACAACCATCAACAGCGTTCTGATTAAGAATAATTTTTTTCCTAGTTTTCAACTACCAATGGATTCTGCCATCCTCAAGTATTTCATGAAAGTCACACTGTATTAGACTACGAAGTTTACGTAAGTTAAGATTACTCTATGTTACGAAGTTAAAACTTATTTTCGGATAAATTATAATTTAAAATTAAAAAAATTGTACAACCGACTTTAATATAAATTATTAAGAATAACTCAAAAACTATTGGTCAGACCTTAATAAATTTATATGAGACCACATGTGAAGCACCAGCTTTTAAATTAAAAAAGAATAATCGAAATCGGTTCACCCAGTAAAAAGTTATGAGGTAACACACATAAAAAACATACAGTCGAATTGAATATACTGTCTCTTTTTTGAAGTCGGTAGAAAATAAATAGTCATGAAAATTACTGCAATTAAGAGGAGAATTTACACTAACATCATTAGAATTTAAAGGTTAACTAAATATAGATTCTTACTTTTAATTTGCATGGCGTGCAACAAATCAATTCGAAATTGTAACTTATTATAATTTTTAAAGGTGATAACAATATACGCATTAAAACTAATTAATATTCACAATAAATATGATATTCATAAAATATGATTGTCATAATTTATCCGTCAAACCATATGTGACAGACAAGTTGTCAACACGGTGTCAATAAAACCTCTTTGCATGTTTAAGATTAAAGATTTGCATCATTCCTAATATTAATAAGTTGTGCAAATATGAAAATATAGATATGATACGAACAGTAATAATATACATACATATATTATTACTGAACATTATACGAGTACTAGAGAAGTGTAAATCTACGAACGTTTTATGCGTTAATAATATTATGAAATATGCGTACTGAATGCTAAAAAAATCTGTGTCAACAAATATCTATACATATGTATACACAAAATTAAATAGTCTGTCTGTAATATCGAATTACTTCAGAAGCCAATTAAGCTAAGAGAGTAATTTTTATGCTATTAAGACTGAATAAACATGATTAAAATTTTTGTCTGTCTGTCTGTTCGGGATAATTTTCGGAATGGATGTACCTATTGCGATGAAACTTCAAGAACGAAGTATATCAAGAGGGATATAGACTATTTTTATAGGAAGAACTTTCACATAACTTTATGAAATCGTAAAACTGAAAAACTCAATAACTTTTTATGATTATTTAGGTTCGCTGAGGAAGCAATTGGTCAGCCATATAACTTACAGAACTGCCAAAAAATTTTTTGTTACTTTGTGTATGGAGACTGAGTGTAGAGCGACCCCCCATCAAATGTAGAGCTGTTCCAACGTTTGCTTGGCGTCGAGATGGGAAACAGCTCAAGACCGTTATTTCTTACAGTTTTTGAGTAGGGATCTTTATGTCTAATAAGAGATAGGTTCCTAAAATGAAATAGTTGAACATTTGGACGTTTGTTTACTTGTCGTGAGCGACACTAGTATCGCTGGCTTAGTCATTCGCACGCTTTCAAACGTGGACAATTTAGCCACCGCTAAGCAGGTGAGAAAATACCATCTCGACTTTTATAGAAAAAGGATACGAAATTTTAATCGTTATTATTTGAAAGGTACTTTAAATATGAGTACAATCCGATTAAATAATAGATATGTGATATCTGTAAAAAGTGACTTTTATATTAAAATTCATTTTATTGTCTTTATTACGTATAGAACAAACATGAAATTTCTTTATGTTGGGTTTATATTGAGTTCGTTATAATGAGAAACCAGTGGGTCCTATTATACCGACGTCAATAAGTGCACTGCTAAACATAGGTCTCCCTGATAGATTGTCTCATGGCGGGGATATTTGCCATAGCTACCACGCTTGGCAAGCGGGTTGGCAACTGCAGTTTATTTTAGTCGTTATTTGGAAGACGCTGCTGCCCATCTCCTGATTCTTTCATTCTTAAACCGCCGTTACACGACCCATTGAAAAACACATTAAATCTAATTTATTATCAGGTAAAAGTACCTTCTTACCTGTGATATCTTACGAGAAACGCACAAAAATAAAAACGGTATCTCACTCTACGTGGTAGAGCCATGCTACAGCTATATTACTAGTATAGTTGTAGCAAGAATGAGTTGACTCGACCGGGGAAGGACCACGCTCTCACAGAATACCAACGTAAAATAGCAGCTTAACCTACTGTTTCGTATGGTGAGTGTAGAGAACCGGAGACCCTTTTTACTGGAAAGGAGGCATTCCATCGTAGTTCTCACAGGTGACAACGCATCTGCATTTTGATTTTTTATTGAGG